AGCAAAGATATTTACATCCAGTTTCAATTATGTAATTAGTGCAATTATATAATGATTTTTTCGATATTGATTTTCTCGTTCAAAGTACATTCATACTGAGTATTCGTGGAAATAATAAGATTAATAAGAATCATGAAACATTATCCCCTATGGACAATGCAAATCCATTTAGGCCCCACTATAAATGTTAAATTTAATTCAATTGTCCTCATTCATATATATTAAAGGTATTAAAGGTATAAATTAACTTAAATTTGTATTCAAATCGCTAGACGAGCAAAGAAATAACGTCTATTAAGTTATCCCCTTCACTAGCGCTAAATAAATTCTAACATATTACAAAATTAGGTGCTAATTAGATGCTAATTGAATGTAAGTATTCAAAGCATTTAGAAGAAAATGAGATATATGTATAATAGAGGAAAAGCTGATTTAACAAGTTGGTTCTCCCCTATATGTAAAAATATATATCCAATATATAAATTTAAAAAAACAAACAGAATTAGAAGCTAATTAAGTGATCTAAAAAACGACCAAGATATACCAAAAATATTACTACAGTATTTTGCTTCCTCATAGAGATAGAGGAAGCTTTGTTTTCGTTTAAAAAAAAATTTTTTTTTGTTTTTCTAAATGTGTTCAGAATGTTCTAAAACGTCGAAAAATTGCAATTTTAAAAAATGTCTGTATGTATGTATGTGTGTGTGTATGTGTGTATGTGTGTGTGTATGTGCCAAATTTACCGAAATTTCTATAACTCCAGAACTAATCAATCAAATCTTAACGAATTATATATGAAATAGAGGTAGAAGAAACTGAAGAATATAACAGAATTAATAAAAATTGCTAGGGTTCTTTTTTAAAAAAATTTTGAATTTTTGCTTTGTTGACCGTTAATGCTCTAACTTCCGTAATTTTTTAGATATCGAAGTGCACTTTTTTTTAATTGATAGAGTATCATGTAAGGAAGGTTGGGATTGAATTTGGCAATGATCGGTAAAGCGGTTCTTTTTTAATAAAATTTTGAATTTTTGTAGAAATGTTCGTTTATGCTTTAACTTCAGTCTTTTCTACCCCTATTTCATATATAATTCTTTAAGATTTGGTTGATTAAATCCAGCTTTATACGCGATCAATGCTCCCTAATTTAAAAAAAAATGTCTGTAATAGCTCTAACTTCCGCAAATTTTAAGATAACGGTCTATTTTTAATTTTATTATATTCTTCAGTCTTTTCTATTTCTATTTCATATATAATTCTTTAAGGCTGGTATTCATAGTCGGGTGTCTTATATCCAAGATCGTCTTAAGTATAGTCTTAAGGCGTCATCAGGTAATCAGAGGGCCGTATTAGCATCTTAAGACATCACTTCCTCTATGAGGAAGCCAAGTGCAAATTTCTAATTTGCAAAATTTTTATTTTAAATATTGTTATATTATGAAAATCAACAAACCTGACCCCTATACGTGATAGTTCATAGTAAAATATTATCTCAAAATCTCGGGTGGGGGAGCTTATTGAGGCACAGTGCCAGTGGCTCAAGGGGCAGAGTAGATCATTGGTTATAAGTTATAACTACGCAACTATTAAGTTTTAGAAACTCGCTCTGTAAGCACATAGATTATGATTTGTGTCACTACACGTTAGACTAGTGACCGATACGCCACCGATGGGTGTATACGTGTGACAGAGGTCCTGTAGTAAAGTAAATAGGAAATTTTTTTCCGATATTGTATTTGTTTTGTACTTTTGTATTATTTTTGTGTGAATTCTAATGTAGTTTAGCATTTTTAGTGTCTTTACAGATTTGTTTACAACTGTGTGTACGTGAATTCACTAAATGTTTCATACATTTTTTGTATTTTTATTTATAAGTTCTATAAGGTACTAATGGAGCACATTGGATCAACGGTCGGTGGGGCTCAGTGAATCACAATCCACTGTGAACCAATGTGACCCGCACACTTTTTTATAGATTTTGGATTAAAATTTAATGCTTTCTTTTACTAGGACAAAGATGCCGCGAAACAGAGTCAGAAAGACATAGGATTAACTATAGTTTAGGATTAAAACATATACAAGAGAGATGTTTCTCTTAGAATTTACCTTGAAAATCATGGTAGTTGTGGGACAACATGTACTACAAAAAATTTTATGCTAGCTATTCTGATTAATATCTACCATAATAAAAAATATTAATATCTATTACATTAAAATATAAAATATGATGAATTTGATGAGTTTGATGAATTTTACTAAACTATATCTAGAAAATTTCAATAATTTTTCAAAAATTACCAATCTGCTCGGTAATTTTTATCACGTTATTTGTAAAATATCTTTTGTATATTTCAAAAATTCCTTGGTTGCCAAGTTGTCTCAAGTTTGCAGTGATTTTAACGGCAAAATATAACGAAAAATTAACCAATTTAGGATTAACTAGTTTTTTAAATTAGATATATTTATCTTTATTTATTTAAAATCCCATGATTAACTGAATCCTGTAATGATTTATTGTGACCCATGCTCTGATCCACTGTGACTCATGCCGGGGGTACAGATGGTTCAATTGACATAGTTTCGAAAAAATATATACAGTAAAAAATAGTCTAGTAATATTTATTTTTCAACTCTGAAATATATTACTTTAGACAATGACCATTAAAAAAAAAGTAGTTGTAAATGCCAAAAATTATGAAGATATGTTCACTGAAAAAGTGTGCAAGTAGAAACTTGCACATTGCTTCTAAGTGTGCAAGAAGAAACTCTCCAAAATAAATAATGTGACAATAAAAATGTCTCAAAACTATCGTATCTCAAAATTAAATTTTCAAAAATTTTAAATTTTTTTTAACTTAATCAAAAAATGTTTTTATGTATTAAGAACTCTAGATATTCGCAAAATGAAGCTTTTAAGCCGTTAAGAACTATTCGGTCTTGAAGTTAAGTGTGAAGTTAGCACCCCATTTTTTAATTACACTATTATAGACACCACAAACGCGCGCTTCGCGCGCGCTATTTAGTTTTAACATTATGCAATTACTATTACACTATTAACTTCTTGATACACACAACTGTCAAAATATACGATGACAGCTGCAAATGAAGTAAGCGCAGCGAGAGAACCAATTGGCATCGCGGAAAAGCGGCAACAAAAAACCGAGATATTCGAGTATCGACTTAACATGCCTTTTTTAGAAAGGATTTTTCGTATTAATTAATCACCGAAACTCTTTTTATAAACATAAAAATACTCCTGTACTCTTCGAAAAAAAGCTGAAACTTTAAACTCATCTCTTTTGACCAACAAATCTCCCCGAACGTGAGCACCATCATACTTGCAAGAGTACCAGCCGAAGGGGATGAGCAAGAAAATCTCATTGTGCATATTTCGAAAGCATATAAATTAGGGAACATTTTAAGACTAAAACCAATTCGCTGTCTGTATTTTAACTGATACTTTACTCTTGCACATATAGGGTGTTCACGTTTGGGTCGGCCGAAGGGGATAAACACGAAAATCTTATTGTGCATATTTTGAAAGCACATAAATTGAGGAACATTTTAAGACTAAAACCAATTCGCTATCTATATTTTAACTATTTTTACACTTTACTCTTGCACGTATGGGGTACTCACGTTTGGGTCGGCCAAAGGGAATGAGCACGAAAATTTTATTGTGCATATTTCGAGAGCACATTACTGGAGAAACATTTTAAGACAAGAATTATTTCGCTTTCTGTATTTTAACTGGCACTTTACTCTTACATCAGTAGTGTATAGATCTTTTTTGGCGTATATCTTTTAAACTATTACAGATAGATTAATTTTGTTTAAGGCATTTGAAAGCACATAATTCTAGCATACTGAGTTATTTATTTTATATGTAATTTTAATGAGTGGGGGTGCTAGTTTACGAAGCCAGCATCTCCACTTTCAATTGTGATTTCCTGCGAAACCGCTCGAGCACAAAAATCGTGAATAGAGCACATAATTAGCACATAAAGAGCTGATTAGAGACTTAATTTCTGCATATGTGTTATTCCGGTTTTTTGTGGAGGAGGGTGCTAACTTAACAGACATAATAAAATTAAGTAAAAATAAGGTTTTAAAAAAAATTTCATCATTTATCGATCTATTTACAAACTTGAAACATTATAAATAATGCCATGATAGGTATGTTTTGTTAAGTAAAATCTACTGTAAATTGATAAAAATATTTACTAAAATATTTAAAATTTCCCATATGTCTCTTTAACGCGAACGTAAAGAAATGAGTAAGATCTTTCTTCTTGTATTAAACCAATTGAGAGATCGAAACACTGGCTAGTACATTTGCTTTATGGAATTCTTTGCAAGAAACGAGCGAATATTTAAGCGGTAAAGTAAAATACACTAAACAAGGAGCTAATTACGACGTTAATAACGTGCATATCTCACGGAAAGTAGGACAACTACGAAAATAACATGTGTTTGAGTATAGTTCGCATTAAATCAACTTCTACAGTGTACGTTTGTTACGTAAACGTTTCAACAAAGATTGCAAAGATTCGCAATTGGTAGCGTAGTTAAAAGAATCTCCGTGAAAAGATCTCGCAAGTTTAATCTCGTGTCGTCGCACATCATTACGAAGGTCGTTCGTACAAAATTTCATCGCAGTTCATAAGACGAATCGATCTGTTAATATGATTTCTAGATAATTAGATTAAATTTAATATTTTAAAGTTTTTGCTTGAAATCACCAAGACGAAATCTTCTAAATTTTGCAGTGGGGTATAATACAATATACATATATATTGTATTAAAATAACACTTTTATTTTTCTACAAGCGTATACACCTGACATTTCCTTCTTTCTTTCTTTTTTTTATAACTTTACATTTCTTATAAACGTTCGCTCTTTGCTCAAGATAGGTTCGCGATAACGCCGTTGTTGTCGTTCGAAACACGTCAAATCATTGCGCGCACTCGATTGCAGACAAACATTAGAATTGATTTACCTGGGGAATATTTGCGTTAAGCTGGCGATTCAAGGCGTCTCGTTCCTTCTCGACCTCCGCCAATCGCGCCTCCATCTCCTGCAGCCGCTCTTGGTGCTCGCGCATCGATTCCATCATCTTGTCACGCTCGTCCAGCATTTGAACCATCAGTTGTTCGATATTCCCATCCTCGCCAGAGAATTGCGAGCTCCGCTGGCTCATGCTGTCCTCCGCGATTGTCGGCATCACGTCACACATCATATTCCACATTTTGCACGTTGTACGTTGCTGCTGTCGTCGTCACGGCGCGGTCGTTCTCCGCGCACGTCGAGATTATTATATTATTTCTTTATTATTCACACCCCGGAAGCAATGGATCTGCGAAAGAATTACCGGTGAATTACACGCACGCGCCGCTAACCGCCACGCGCATTCGTAGCGCGTGATACAAGCACAAAATGATGTGTTCACGTAGTATGCACACGCGAGCGCACGTACTCACATGCAACCTACACTTACGTACATCTACACACACCTATACTCGCATACAACGCACGCACGCATACACGCACACACACGCACGCGCGCACGCACAATGTACAAAATCACAAACGAGAAAGCGAAAATAAGCAATAATTCTTGTGCGCTTCTCTAATATCTCTTTTTAACTGTTTCCTCTCTTTCTTTCCATCTCTTCCTCTTCTCTCCTCTCACCCATTTGTCGCATTCTAGACGCCCGCACCCGCGATTGTACCTCACATATCTATTTTTTTTCGCGTCACACGATCTCACAACAACATCGACGCATCGCGTAATTATTCAAAATAGATTCCACCTAATTCCGATCGTGTGTAAAAAATAATATAATTGTAGCAAAACTCGCCAACTTTGATTTCGCAAACGCATTTACATCTTCCTGTTTGTTGCCTATCCTCCTTCGTTGGCCTTAGTCAATAATCTCTCTCTCTCTCTCTCTCTCTCTCTCTCTCTCTCTCTCTCTCTCTCTCTCTCTCTCTCTCTACT